TTCCTGTCCAGTACATAGTGCTCCCCCTGTTTCCACCCAACCTGCTGGATCAAATCTACACTGAAATGTGGATTCCCAAAACTGCCTGACCTGAAATACAGTGTATTGCAAAGTCAATATTGACAGAAATGACAAAATATTATTTGTTATCTATTAAAATAATTTATTACATAGCTAAAATTGTAGGATTCAGTTCTCACCATGTTATTTTCATTGTTGATGCTGTTATTTTGATCAAGACGTATTTGTAAAAGAAATTCCCTGAGCCCTGGTATTTCTCCTCGGCGGATGGCAATGCCCAGTGTGCCAGCCAGGTAAGGCATGAGGCGAGGCGTCTGGAGCACAGCAGCTGCTGTCCAAGCTTCACTTGCTATCCACTGCTGGCCTGTTGCATTCTGCCTTACCACCTGTGTAGCATTATATAAAATATATCTTTTAGACTTCTGGTGTAAAAATCTTTTTTTCTTTGCCGCAAATCTGTCAAAAGCAGTTCCTCTGCCTATGTTATTTTCAGACACATGCACAGATGCCCAGATTTAAATAGTGTGGGCATATTTCAATTCATTTTTGTAAAAAAAAGTCACAATGGATCTAAATAGGTAAATAAACACTATTGTTTTTTCATCCAAATTGGGTGGTTTGGTGCTGTAGGTTTTTATTTATTTATTGAAACTTGATTGAAACTGTCATTGAAATATTAAAATAAAATGTTTATAAAAGTTTCTTGACACTGGGATGTTTTGATTTGTAAAAGGCATGGACACTATGCAGAAAATTACAGATTGGATTATTGACAGCTTTTTTATATATATATATATAATATGATATGATCTGGTATGTCCATGGCCTGGATACAGATCTATAAACTTGTATACCATTGGATCTTTCCTGATACAGGTCCTTTTTGTCCAGTGTGAACTCATGGATTTGTTAATTTTATTACATTTTAAATCTAGCCTTGTTTCATTCCTTGTTTCATGTGGATCTTTTTTTTTATGGAGCTGATTTTCAGTGGTGTCATTCCCATTGGGGCATGTGCAATAATTCTACTCTGTGTATCACCTTGTGTAACATGAATTACTGAGCCTTGGACATTGGACGTCTCCTTAAGAATAATAACCGACCAGTCTGATGTATGAAGATGTGTATATGATGTCACCGTAGAAGCCTGGTGTTGTTTTCAGGCAAATAAAGTAAAAAAAGTCAATGGCTGTACGTAAT